TTTCTTAAATCCTTTCCACCTCCCCACCACTTCCTTTCATCATAGTGGCACCGGCCACCTCACACCTCAAGAAAGGGGCAGCACTAGGTATCCAGTGTTTATATTTTAATTAACTATGTAATAAAAAAGTATTGATTTGAGATAGGAATAGACACATACATCACTCGGAAATTGTGTTATCACACATGACTCCTGGTAGTTTCTATGAGAAATATCATAAAGTGATAGAGAAAAGCTGGAGGTAAATTGGCTGGAGAAAACTATTTTCTTCTCACTTCTTCCTTCACCCACAAAATAAATTGGAAAAGTACTAAAGAGTACTTTTCTGGGTAGCTGACCTCAAACTCGATGTCCTCCTGCCTCAGATTCTGAAGTGGCACCATGCTTGTGTAGCATTGTAATTATTGATTGGCTAGGTACATCTTTATTTTTTATGTACTTTTATCTTAGATTTGTCCTAAAAGATATTTAAATCATTATTCACAAAAGATCAGTTGGGAAACTAAAGCTACCATTTGATGCCAGGAAAAATATAAGAATATGCAAAGAATCACAAAATAATCACAGCATTTAAAGCATACAATGGAAAAACGATTTCATGCCAAGGTTGTAAAGAACTCACACTTGCCAACTTTGTCCTTGGCACTGCTTTTCACTCAGGTGAGTAAGGCTTCTCATTTCCCTACATGCACAGAGCAGACACTGAGCGAGGCAGGCGAGTGGTCGTTTCCACCTTGGTCTTTCTTGGTTTTTGCTTTTCCTTTTTTCCACATGACCCAAAAGGAGTATTTTCAGACAACACTGCCACCTTGATTCATTTAGGCTGTGCCAGTGAATACAGCTCCTGCCCTGGCCTTGGGTCAGAGGGTGTAATAGAATTTTTGTTCCTGACAGTAAAGGAGTTACTGACAGTAATAAATTCTGTGAAGATGCACATTTCAGTGCTATATTTACTAGTGTTAAATTTCTTTTTAAAAAGCATATTTTTATGTCTATATGATCTTTTGCCTGCATGTACACATATGCAACACATGCGTGCTTGGTACACGGCGAGGTGAAAAAGAACCTGTTCCATGGAACTAGAATTACAGAAGGTTGTAAGCCACCATGTGGGTGCTGGGAACTGAACAAGGGGCCTCTACCAGAGCACCAAGTGCCCTTACTGCTGAGCAACCTCTCTGGCCCCACAAACATGTATTTTCTGACAAACAACTAGCTTTTTGAGTGTTGATATTGAAATTTGGTGTCAGTTAGATGTAGTGGTACACACCTTTAATCTCAGCACTCGGGAGGCAAAGGCAAGTGGCTATCTGTGAGGTTGAGGCCAGCCTGGACTACAAAGTGAGTTCCAGGACAGCCAAGACTATTACACTGGGAAACTCTGTCTCAAAAAAACAAAAACAAACAAACAAAAAAAAACCTAGGTGTCTAGGGAGCTGTTTATTGAATTCATTATCAGTATCAAAGATATTGGTCTGCAGAGACAGCCATAAATTATTGAAATATATTGTGGAAAACTGGGGAATGGGTAATAGGTCAGTGATAGAGCACTTGTCTAGCAATGTACAAGGCTCTGGCTTTGATCCATAGACACACACACACAGACACACACACACAGACACACACACACACACAATGATGGCTAATAGTCCTGGGTGTCATGACCTCGCCCAACTCACTGAGGTTGAACAAGTTCCTATTTAGGAACACTCTGGATCTCCCCCAAATCCAACAATAGAAAGGTTAATACTTATCAGAAACTGAGCAGATATGTAGCAGATGGTTTTCATCCTGGTGGATTAGCACCAAGCCACAAAAGGGTTAAGTATACGGAATGTAACCCCACACCTTTGAGATGGTGAAGCTGCTATGCACCTGACCATGCTAAGTCAATCCAGTTGTGTTTTGTTAGGTTCTGTTTAAATCTACAGTACTATTTCTCAAAGTTGAGCAGGTCACAGAATCCCTGGAGGACTTGTTAAAACATGCACCGCTGGGCCTCACCCTCAGAAGTTCTGAGTCAGGAATTACGGGGTGGGGTCTGGGAATGTGGGCAGTTCCCAGGCCGTGTGAAGGTAGCTAAGGTAGCTTGTTTACTGGTCTATTCTATAGAGAGTCTCAGTTAGAAATAGATTTTGATAGCTGGACTTTTTAAGCATCAGCATGCACAGGAGTAACAGAGAGTCTCAGAAAGCAGGTTTGATCAGTGGATCTGATGAACAGCCTGAAGCCCTGCACGTCTACCAAGCTCCCAGGTGATGCTGATAAGGTTTTCACCTTGGATCACTGTCTACCTGAGACTTGAACAGCAAAGTCTAGGGCACTAAAGAGAGCTCACTCTTTACTTCTCCACAGTTAAAGTCTTGATTCTAGGTCCTTGTTTCTCTCTGTCTACAATTCCCTCCTGGCTCTCCTCCACTGATTATATTTTAACTAGATCTTCTTTTGTTCTTTTTGTCCCGTTTCCTTTTCTTCCTTCTTCTGTCTACCTATTTCCTTCCTACTCTCACTCACTGGTTTTCTTGACATCTTTTGAAGTTTTAAAAATCCTGACCTTCTCTCAGGACTGTATCTCTATTTAAAATTTTTAAATAGCAAATAAAATTTAAAAAAAAAGGAAGGAAGGAAGGAAGGAAGGAAGGAAGGAAGAAAGAAAGAAAGAAAGAAAGAAAGAAAGAAAGAAAGAAAGAGAAAGAAAGAAAGCAGCTCTGACTTCTCATAAGGAATCGCTCCCCACACTGTCTCAGACTTTCATGATTCCAATGATGATGTCAGGAAAGAGTCTAGGAAAATGCATGTGATCACACGTTGGGCAACAATGCAGTCAGTCAGGTAGGTCCAGAGGCAATGCTCAGACTTCTTGTATTGTAGAAAGTTCTCTTATTGTAGAAAAGTGGCTGGGACCACTTTTCTGAGATGAAATTTTCCCTATTTATGAACTAGCATAGAAAACATTTTCTTTAAAATGGTACTAGTTTTTGGAAACCCCATTATTTTCTAGCTACTAATGCTGCTGAAATCCTGAGGATAGGTTTCTGTATACCTTCCTCTAACCCTCCTTCCCCTGAGGCTGAGTGAGCCATTTGGCAGCAAAGGCTGTGAAAGTCTGCAAGTCGTAACACTGGAGGATAGAAGTATGGCCCACCCTCATGACCATTCAGAAACCAGAGCATGAGGCAGATGCTTGTCCTTGATTAGCTCTGTCTGAAAGTCAGGTTTGTCTCTCTATGTGACAAGTGGTCCAGACTTCAATTCTAAATCAATTCTAGCAGCACAGACCCTCAGAACAGAAGATAAACCATGTATGAGTGGTGCCTAGAGGCCAGCCTTCCATTGAAGTAGTATTTAGTTGCTGAATGTGGGCCTGAGTTGGTGCCCGCAGAAGTCATTTATGGTTGCCAACACTCAGATGCTAGTGACAACTGTATGTAGAGCTGCCATGTCCCCATTCTACTGAGCATCCTACTATGCAGACAAGGTCCCCCTACCCACCATGATAGCAAAAACTATGATCCAAAGTATCAGTAGGGCTTCTGCTGGAAGGCTTGCTCAGAGGATGCTCAATCTGTGTCACATCTGTCTTCCCTTCTTGAATGAAAACTGAGAGAAATGAAGGTAGAATTCATGAGGATAAGACCTTTGATCTGTAATTGTGAAGTTTGGATTTTCTTGTTGGTTTGGTTTGGTTTGGTTTGGTTTGGTTTGGTTTGGTGGTTTGGTTTGGTTTGGTTTGGTGGTTTGGTTTGGTTTGGTGGTTTGGTTTGGTGGTTTGGTTTGGTTTGGTTGTTTGGGAGGATTTTTGGCTGCCATTTGCCAAACCCTGACTGGGATGATGGAAGGATCAAGCAGAGGGGTACCGAATTCTAATGCCCACAGGATCTAAATGAGTAATACAATAAGCAAAGTATTTCAAGAGGCAAAAAACGAGGGAGAGGAATATTGGACAAAGACATAGGAAATACTGTCTCTTATTGTTTTAGAAGAAAATAGTAGTGTCTTCACAAGAAAAAAAATAGCATCTTGCTGTTTGAACACTTTTGGTTCAGTCTTGCCAGCAAAAGCAGACCAAGGTCCAGTCAGCCATGGGTGTGAATCTCCCACCCAGGCTCTTGTCTCTATACCAACACAGGACTTGGTGGGAGTGGTGACCCAAACAAAGGATTTTCCTCATTTTTCCTTTATTGTAGAACCAAGTATTTCTCATATTTTTCTTGTCCTTGTTGCTCTGAGGAACAGAAATCATGGCCAGATTGTTTTCAATTCTGAGAAACCTTAAATCTTTGAGGGTGGGGGGTGCAGATTACTAGCAAAGATTTTTTTAAACAGATTTTAAAAGTTGTAAACACAAAGATGGTGCTAGGGAAACTGTACACAGCCTGTGAAGCCTAAAATATTCCCTGCCCCTTACAGGAGAGGTTACCAACCTCTGATTGTGTGAAAGTGAGGTTTCCTTGTTGTCTAAGTAGTCAGAACAAAAAGGCAAAGTTCATGGAATCTGTGAGTCATAAAATGAGCTTACAGAAAGCCCATTAGAGGATTGAGGTGTTAGTACTTTTTTTTTCTACCACACATTTTTTTTAAATCCTAATGAAGTTAGCTTTGAGCCACTTAATGTGTGTGGTTTCTGTGAGGTGGAGGAGGTCAGAGATAAAGAAATGTGTAGAAAGTGATGGCAATAGAGTGAGAGCAAGATGAGAGAGCCCAGAGCTTAGCTTCTGAGAGACCCCAGACTTTGGCTTCTGAGAGAGCCCAGAGGTTGGCTTTTGCATCCAAAACCTTGGTTTTCAGGCTCTTGGCTGACCAACTGGTCACCTAGCCACGACCTAAATGGTTAAACTAGGTTCAAAGTCCCAAAGTTCTAGGTTCTGAGATGACCCATCCAATGATGTCATAGAAAAGTTACCTTTGTATTCCATCCAGAACACCATAATTAATGGGACAGCTACAGTGGTCCACCTAAGTCAACAGGAGAGGGTCAGCCGCAAGTCCAGATGTTAATCATGGTGCAGAGGATTAACACCAAGGCAAGTATTTGTTAGCTTCCTGGAATATCTCAAATGACACTTCAAAAGCAGTATCCGATGAGACCTGATGAACATCCATTATGCCCTCCATCCAGTACTCCTTCATTGCCCAATGTCAAGGGAGGCCTTTCAAGTCTTGTGTTGATTTTATGTCTTTTGCCATAGGGTCTCTACTCAAGAGACAGTGGCAGGAAAATTTCAAGTTAAAGGCTAGCCTAGGCTATTTATTAAATACAAGGTCCAGCCAAGGCAAGTAATGAAACTCTATCTCAAAATAAAAAGTAAAGAGGGCTAAAGATAGACCATCTAGCTTGTGCTATGCCCTAATATCACAGGAACTAGAGATGCAACTGAGAAATAAAGACCTATCTTGGCTGTGTGAGAATTCAGTCATCCATTCTACAGAAATACAGGTCCGGGAAGTGGGTGCATCATCTTAGAATCTTCGCCTGCTCAGAACGAAATCAAATGGGAACTTACAAAGTTCCCTTGCTGAAGGGCAAGCATGCCATCTGTATGGAATTAACTCCACCCTTAATGGAGATAGGGTTTTGGGATGTATCACTCACTTGTGTACTCATAGGGAAACTGTGTCTAACCTCAGACTCCCTTAGAAAAGCTGGAGTGGCTGTAAGACAGTACGGTAATGTTCCTCTGTTCTTGCACCCTTTGCAAAATTTCCCTTTTATTTCTTGTGAGACTTTGTGAGATTCCATGACAGTGCACACTTCCCACTGTGTTCTGGTTTCAGAGGGAACTGAAAGAATTGTTCCTCGCTGCTGAAAACAGGCTTGTGGTGATAGAGTTTTCAGCAGAGTGGTGTGACCCCTGCAAAACAATTGCTCCTGTTTTCCAGGTAAGGATTTCCAGTGTCTATCTCAAAGTCGTCAAAGGAATTTAGGTCCCCAAAAGTTTTCCCAGTCATTCTGAAGTTTTTCTACTTCTGAACTATTGGGAGGATGTAGTTGTTTTGTTCATTTGACTTTAAACATCCCTATAAACCTGAAGCTAATATTCTGGGATGTCATGAGGTGATACCAGAAGAATGGGATTATTTGTCTGTGGGGCGTTCACAAGGGAACACCAGGGTATGCAGAAGGACTACACATGGAATTGGGAATTCATATCATTACATCTTCCCAAAGTTGGAACCCAGGACTTAAATGAGATCCCAGAGAGACACAATATTTATGTTTAGTCATAAAGTATGTTTGTACACTGCTTGCATGCCTAGCACTGAAAGAGGCCACAAGACAGCATTTCTAGCTCCAGATTTTCTGGAACTAGAGTCAAAGACAACTGTGAGTTGCCATGTATGTGCCAGGAATTGGACCCTGGTCCTCTGAAAGAGCACTCAGTGCTCTTAACCACTGAGAAATCTCTCCAGCCCTCCATCTCAGGGAATTTTAGTTTTCTTTCTCCTGGTTGTACAAAGTCTCCTGGTTATTTGTGATCACCTTTGTGACATGTATAAATATCAAAATTTATACAGTATACATATATGTGTATATATGTATGAATATAAAGAAGTTTTGATCCCGTGATGATACAAGTAAAAAACTTCTACTCTGTTTTCAGTGAGATTTTTAAACACCTTGGATTTTCTTACTTGGCCTCTTGAATCTGCCAAAACTAATTCTAACAACAGTCACAGCCATCAATACTCAGTCGTAAATGAACTTGCAGAAGATGGACGAGCTACATGGCCTTTCTCCTTTGGCATTTGTGTATGTGTGGCTCATGTGTATATGTTCAGATGTGCAGGTCTGCTCTGCAGGTCTAAAGTTGATGTCAGATGTCTTCCTCAGTTGCTCTCCTCACAGACTGATACAAGGTCTCCTGAAGAACTCAGAGCTCATCTTCAGGCTAAGCTGGCTAGACCACTGTCTCTGCTTCCCTCATGCTGGTGTTACAGGCAAGTCACCATACACACAGGCTTTTGTATGTCACAAAGGTTCTAGAATTCAACCTCAGTCTTCACACTTGCATGGCAAGTGCTTTACCCACTGGGCTAACCCACCTCCTTTGACATGACTCTTCAGGATCCCTACTATGCCTAAACTTCTCATACTATTCAGAAGGAACATTTTAGTGTTAGACAGGCCTTCTGTGACTCAAAACTAAGGAGGAAGGTTCCCTCACTATGCCACAGAAATAGCCAGTGCTCTGGTGCAATAGTGTGAATCCACTCAAATGCCACAGAATTAAAGCTGATTGAATTTGGGTAGCCAATAAAAGGCACATAATATGCCACCTAAGTGTACATTTGTGTGTGTGTGTGTGTGTGTGTGTGTGTGTGTGTGTACATGTAGAAGTCTAAAGCCAACCACATCTGCTGTCATTTCTCAGACACTATCTATATACTCTTTGTTAGTGGTGGTGATTTGGTTTGGTTTGGTCTGGTCTGGTCTGGTCTGGTCTGGTCTGGTTTGGTTTGGTTTTTTTGAGGCCAGGTCTCTAACTGGGCTGGAACTCATTAAGTAGGGTAATCTAGCTCGAGGCTAATGAGCCCCAGATTTCCACCTGACTCTACTTTCCAACAAGTACATACTACCATATTGCCTATTTTTCTCATGGGTTCGTGGAGTCAGACTTAGGTCTTCATGACTGAATGGCAAGCATTCTATTGACAGCTATATTCCCAGCCATAGTTTGTTTTTGCTTTGTTGTTATGAAGGGTTAATAGTGAAATCTTTTAGCAGACTAACAGTACAAAGAGCCAGGAGAGCAGGTCGGCTAGTTTTAGGGCTTTGTGCTCCAAGAACAAGAACTTGGCTAACCACAGAGTAGATGATGTAAATGATATGGTTGAATAAGATTGAGCCTTGAGAAAAAACCTATACTTCCCCATGATTGTTCCTCGAACCCTGTCATATGCTGAGTAATGGGCTGACACTTTCTCCATGATTGTTCCCTAAACCTTGGCACTTTCCACAGTTACCCCTCCCCACTCCCCTAGTTTGTGGTTTTCTCCTTTAAATATCCTACACTCCCCTCACTAGGGGTCGACCTCCTCTGCCCCTGCATGGGTTACGGGGTCTCGGCCTCAGCACACTGATTAAAATATACCTCTTGCTGGTTACATCAAGATCGGTGTCTCTGAGTCTTTTGGGTGGCTGTGAGTTCTCGTGGCTTGAGTGGGGGTCTCCCCTCCCCAGGGGCCTTTCAGTTACTGTGTTGTCATTGTTGTTTGTTAGACTAGCGATGTGAAGAAATGTATTATTATATCTTTGGTGGTAGGATGGTAAAATGATGCATTTACTCTAAAAATAATTTAGCAATTTCTTATAAGGCACATAAATTATGCATATGTATGATAGAATGTTAGAAGAAAAATAAAGACCTATGAACAACTTAGTATAGCATGTTAAGTGATTAATTAACCCATGGCCTAGAAATTAAGATTGAATTAATCTTTGACCTAACAATTGTGCTCTTGATCAAAAAAATGAATGTTCATTGAGTATGCCTGAATAGTTAAAAGCTAAAAAAAAGCTCATGTCTTTCAACAGATCAATTATCTTATACTAGAATTAAAAGGAATTATATAAATATCATTCATTATATATCCAGATAAGACAGAGCAGAAGGACATCTGCCAAACAAGGGATTGTTTTTCTGTGAATAAGTGATTGTTGAGGGAGACATGACTGATTTGTCTTTGCTGTACCTAACTCTTGGCCTTTTGTAAGGGAGCATATTTATATACTTCATGTGATTTTGTTAAACTCCTTGTCTGTGAGGGATTAGAAGGAAGGCTTTTGCCTTACAGAAACTTTGCAATTTTATGTAGTCCCATTTGTCAATTCTTGATCTTAGAGCATAAGCATTGGTGTTCTGTTCAGGAACTTTTCCCCTGTGCCCAAGTAGTCGAGGCTCTTCCCCACCTTCTCTTCTATTAGTTTCAGTGTGTCTGGTTTTATGTGGAGGTCGTTTATCAACTTGGACTTGAGCTTTGTACAAGGGGATAAGAATGGGTCAATTTGCATTCTTCTACATGCTGACCTCCAGTTGAACCAGCACCATTTGTGGAAAATGCTGTCCTTCTTCCACTAGACAGTTTTAGCTCCTTTGTCAAAGATCAAGTGACTGTAGGTGTGTGGGTTCATTTCTGGGTCTTCAATTCTATTCCATTGATCTTCCTGCCTGTCTCTGTACCAATACCAGGTAGTTTTTATCACTATTGCTCTGTAGTACAGCTTGAGGTCAGGGATGGTGATTCCTCCAGAAGTTCTTTTATTGTTGAGAATAGTTTTCGCTATCCTGGGTTTTTTGTTATACCAAATGAATTCAAGAATTTCTCTTTCTAACTCTGTGAAGAATTGATTTGGGATTTTAATGGAGATTGCATTGAAACTGTAGATTGCTTTTGGCAAGATGGCCATTTTTATTATATTAATCCTGCCAATCCATGAGCATGGGCAATCTTTCCATCTTCTGAGATCTTCGATTTCTTTCTTCAGAGACTTGAAGTTCTTATCATACAGATCTTTCACTTGTTTGGTTAGATTCACACCAAGGTATTTTATATTATTTGTGACTATTGTGAAGGGTGTCATTTCCCTAATTTATTTTTCAGCCTGTTTACCTTTCACTTAGAGGAAATCTACTGATTTGTTTGAGTTGATTTTATAACCAGTCGCTTATAGGACAAAACGGCAACCAACAGATTGGGAAAAGATCTTTACCAATACCACATCCTATAGAGGGCTAATATCCAATATATACAAAAAACTCAAAAAATTAGACTCCAGACAACCAAATAACCCTATTTTAAAAATGAGGTATAGAGCTTAACAAAGAATTCTCAACTGAGGAAACTTGAATGGCTGAGAAGCACCTAAAGAAATGTTCAGCATCCTTAGTCATCAGGGAAATGCAAATCAAAACAACCCTGAGATTCCATCTCACACCAGTCAGAATGGCTAAGATTAAAAACTCAGGTGATAGTAGATGCTGGCGAGGGTGTGGAGAAAGAAGAACACTCCTCCATTGTTGGTGGGACTGCAAGATGGTGCAACCACTTTGGAAATCAGTCTAGCGGTTTCTCAGAAATTTGGACATAGCATTACCTGAGGACCCAGCTATACCACTCCTGGGCATATACCCAGAAGATGCTCTAACATATAACAAGGACATATGTTCCACTATGTTCATAGCAGCCTTGTAGCCAGAAGCTGGAAAGAACCCAGTATTACTCACCTATTAAAAACAATGAATTTGAGAAATTCTTAGGTAAATGGATGCAACTAGAAAATATCATCCTGAGTGAGGTAACCCAATCACAAAAGAACACACATGGAGCTGGGCAGTGGTGGCTCACACCTTTAATCCCAGCACTTGGGAGGCAGAAGCAGGTGGATTTCTGAGTTCGAGGCCAGCCTGGTCTACAGAGTGAGTTCCAGGACAGCCAAAGCTATACAGAGAAACCCTGTCTTGAAAAACCAAGGGGGCTGGAGAGATGGCTCAGTGGTTAAGAGCACTGACTGCACTTCCAGAGGTTCTGAGTTCAAATCCCAGCAACCACATGGTGGCTCACAACCATCTGTAATGAGATCTGATGCCCTCTTCTGCTGTGTCTGAAGACAGCTACAGTGTACTCATATATAATAAATAAATAAATAAATCTTAAAAAAAAAGAAAAACCAAAAAAAGAAGAAGAAGAAAAGAACACACATGGTATTCACTCACTGATTATTGGATATTAGCCTAGAAGCTTGAAATACCCAAGATTCAACTCACAGACCACATGAAGCTCATGAAGAAGGAAGACCAAGTGGGGGTGCTTCAGTCCTTCTTAGAAGGAGTAACAAAATACTCAAGGGAGAAAATATGGAGACAAAGTGTGGGACAGAAACTGAAGAAGAGGCCGTCTGGAGACCATTCCACCTGGGTATCTATCCCATGTGCAGTCACCAAAGGTAGATGCTGATGTGGATGTCAGGAAGTGCATGCTGACAGGAGCCTGATATAGCTGTGTCCTTAGAGATCTGCCATAGTCTGACGTATTCAGAGGCAGATGCTCACAGCTAACCATTGAACTGATCAAGGGGTTCCCAATGGAAGAGTTAGAGTGAAGACTGAAGGAGCTGAAAAGGTTTGTGGCCCCATGAGGAGAGCAACAATACCATCCAACCAGAGCTCCTAGGGTCTAAACCACCAGCCTGGGAGCACATAGGGAGGGACCCATGGCTCCAGCTGTACATGTAAGGGAGGAGGGCCCTGTCGGGCATAGGTGGGAGAGGAGATCCTTGGTTCCATGAAGGCTGGATGCCGAGTGTGGGGGAATTCAAGGGTGGGGAGG